TTCAAAATGGAAAAATGGCTAGGTTTGACTAACCGGAAAAGTGAAGGATCCAGGACAATCTTCTGGCACTAAGAATATTATGAAAAGAAAGAAAATTTGTTTATAGAAAATATAATGAACGTTACTTATTATGTGGGTTTACTTCGAATGGAGACAAAATGGACTTTCAATCTCAATGTAGTGAACTGTTATATAATTAAAGTATGAAACCATTGTTTCTTAAAAGACATCTTGAATCTAAGTATGCAAATTTAAACTAGAAATCTGCAGAATATTTTAAGAGGAAATTATCAACGTTCAAAAATAGTAAACAAGTAATGAAAGGTTTGGTTCCTTCAAGTGAAAAAGCTTTGGAAGCTAGTTACCTAGTAAGCCTAAGAATTACTAGGACTGGACAGGTTCATACTGTTGGAGAAAACGTTCTATTACCAGCAGCTAAAGCTATTGTTTTAACATTATACAATGAAAAATCGGCTGATGAACTCGCTGTTTAATGATACAGTAAGTCGCCAAATTAACGAAATGGCAAATTCCTTAAAAGAGACACTTATTCCCAAAATAAAGAGCATATAAAAGTGAGTATTCCACAGTGAATATTTCGCACTGCCGTTGGATGAAAGTACTGATATTATGAACTTTGTTCAATTATTACGTTATTATGTTAAAAAAGATAAACGAAATGATGAAGAGTATTTATTTTGTGAATAACTTCATGATAGAGAATGAAATTTTCAAAGTAATTGACAGTTTTATATCTTCCAATGATATTCCTTGGAATAAGTGCATTGCCATATACAGTGACACACAGGCTTTAACAGGAAAATCTTCTGGTGTTATTTCACAAATAAAGAAAGTTGCACCTGAAACTAAATTTACTCACTGCTCCATTTATCATGAAGCTCTGGTTGGCAAAACAAACCCCCAAAATCTGAAACTCATTATGAATCAAGTTGTGAAAATTGTTAATTTTACTAAAAAACGAGTTTTAAATTAAAAAATATTTATGATTTTGTGTTAAGAGATGGGCAGTGAACATGAAATGCTTTTGTTACATTCTGAAATAAGGTTGTTATCCAAAGGCTTTAGACTTTTTGAACTTGGATCAGAAATTCAAATTTCAGTCTCTGATTCAAAATTAGAATAGCAAAATTGTTTATTTAATGAATAATGATTTGCACATTTATCATATGTAACTGATATTTTTTGGAATGTTAAATGAATTAAATTTAGGCTTAGATAGACAAAGTGTTATTTGTTTGCTGTTAGAGATAAAATAAATGCAATGATAAACTCAAGCTAATAATCAAAGAATTGGATAATAATAGTTTAAGCTTTTTACCACTTTTAGAAAGTTTCCTAACCAAAATTAATTTGAAAATAAAAGAATTAGCATCTGAGATTAAAAATCATTGTTTTTCATTGATAAATAATGTCAATGTGTATTTTCCAGACGATTATGAAAAAGAAAATTGGATTGAAAATCCATTTTCTTCAAATGTAGTGGAAATTTTGTCTCAGGAAGAAAAAGAACAATTGATAGAAATTTCCTGTTATCGAACTCTAACTGAATATTTAAAAAATAACACACTTGTTAACTTTTGGCTGAATCGAAGGAAAAAAAAAAAAAAGAATTTAAAGGCATTTCAAATTGAGCTGCTAAATTTTTATTGTCTTTTTACACAGGCTATTTGTATGAACAAGGATTGTCTTCCATGTTGTATTTGAAAAATAAGTATAGAACAAAATTAAAAGTGGATCCTAATGTGCAGTTAAAACAGTAAGTGAAATAAGACCAGACATAAAGAAATTGACCTATCTCTCTTAAACAGGCCCAAATTTGATATTAAATTTTAGAATTAAAGTACTGTAATGTAAATTTTGATAATTAAAATGGTAACCAATTATGAATCTAATATTTTTTGTATTCATATTTAATAAAGATAGCCAACAGGTTGAGCAAATGGCAATATATATATATATATATGTATTGTTAATATTTTATTGAGAAATTGAAAAATGATCATTATAAAATAAATGCGATGGTAGTAAAATTTTTCAGTTTTTGTTTAGATGATATGCGTTAGTCAAAAGGTTGAGAACTGCTGGCTTATACCATCACCTAATGTTCTGAGAGATAGGTTGTTGAACCCTAGAGCAGCGGTTCTCAACCTTTCAACTAACGCATACCATCTAAACAAAAATGGAAAAACATTAGTACCACCGCTGCAATATATAATGATTATTTTTCAGCTTCTCAATAGAAATATTAAAAGTTATATATATATATATATATATAATATATATATATATTTTGCCATTTGCACAACCCAATTTGCTATTTGAATTAAATATGCACACATTAAAAATATTATATTAAAAAGTGGTTATTTTAATTATCAAAATTGAAGTTATAATGTTTTAATTTAAAAATTTAGTGTGAAATTTAGGCCTGTTTAAGAGAGATCAATTTCTTTACGTCTGGTCTTCATTTCACTTAGCTTTAAATTAGAATTCATTTTTAATTTTGTTCTGTATTTATTTTTCAAATATAGCATGGAAGAAAATCCTTGTTCACACAAATAGATTGTGCAAAAAGGCAATAACAATTTGATACCTTTATTTTAAATGCCTTTAAATTCTTTGTTTTCGGTATAGCCAAAAGTTAACAAGTGTGTTATTTTTGAAATCTTCAGTTGGAGTTCGATCACAGGAAATTTCCATCAATTGTTCTTTCTCTTCAGGAGATTTTAAAATTGAATTGTTAAAAATACTTTGTTTCTTTGCATATCACTTATTTTTCTCTTGCGTACCACCAGTTGAAAATCCTTTGTCTAAGTGGCTATTGATCTTGACCAAAGCTCAGATCGCAAAAACTTAGTGTTAGAAAAAGAAAGAAAACTGAATTATGATTTTGGGATTTTAATTTTTGAATTTAATAGACTTTGCTTCTTTGCATACCATTGGTTGAGAACCCCTGCTGTAGGGAATTGTTGACAAAAGTCATGCTGAACAGTTGTTACAGACTTTCACTTTGGAAAGCATAGAACACAAAACAATTTTTATTGTGCAGTCACCATACAGAGAAATATTGAAGTAGCAGGCGAAGGAAGAGCATTAGTGCTACTTATCCCCAACTACATGAAACTCAATATTTCCCTCTCCCTACCTATACATTATTCAATCAGAATGGATTAAAAGCTGAAAAGCAATGATTTTTCTTTAAATTTTGAAACCCTCTGTTTTGGCATTTTTGTAAATTTAAGACACCAATTTTCTATAAATTACAGAATCTACCTTTTTATATGTTCTTTCGATCCCTGTTATATTTAGTGAATTTTATATGCATTGTAATAAATAAAATGCAAAAAGTTTGTCTATGATAAAAATTGAAGATATTTAATTGCACAATTTGGCTTTTCAGCCAGTTTTCTCGATTTTTCTCTAGGGGTCAGTTAAAAATAAATTTCAATTAACTTGAAGTTAATTTTTTCCCCCTTTTAATGTCAGTGAATGATATTTTGTTGTGATTTAGTCTTTGCAAGTCTGTTATGTGTAGTGTGTAAAGAGAATTTTAATTCAAGTAATTTATAAGTTTTAAAAGGCTAAAAATGCATACCATATTTACACATGTATTTTTCCTGCCTATTTTTGCTCAAGATTCTTAAAATTTAATCTTTAATCTGTATCACATACTAATCTGCTGTCTTATGACTGGAAATATGCTGAATGGTAGACGCTCCAACATATGATGCCAGATGTTGGGCCATTGCGGTAATCAACAAAAAGGGTTGGTGCATAGCATTCTTGTAGATATCTTCATAAACATTCACAGCCATTGTTTTGCCACAGACATTTATCCTTGGACAGTTTGTGATATCATTTTTATTCTAATTGTGATGACTGGCACATTGCTAATTATGTAGTCATAACATGCAGATATTTCAAATGAGAATAAATTCATTTGCTGAAGGAAACGTTTGGCTTTGAAAGTTATATGCTGCAATGATAATTAGGTTTTAGTATGGTGTTTGCATTATATGCTAGTCTGTGGTTTTTCATTTAATGCTGTGAATATCAGGACATAATTCTGTATTTATTGTGTCATGCATTGCTCAAGATTATTTGTATTGTGCTGAATTTGCCAAGTAGCTATGTATATTGCTTACCCATTATCATGTAGCTTTGAGATCTGGTATCATTTTTCAGCCATTAATTATTGGTATTCAACCTACTAACATCCAAGAGGCTTGCTCTTCAGAAGTTCTGCTGGTGTTGATCTATCTTTGATGCCAATGTCCATCAAGTGTCACATGACTTGTTGCATATTAATGCTAATTATTACATATGTACTCTTACATCTCTATCTATCTTGTAATTTTTCATGTGGCTAGGTTCAGTCATTTGTGCTGTTGTAATTTCATGTTTGATAAGTAAAAATTTTTCAAGGAATATCCTTCTCCTTTGGGCCTGGGGATGTATATCCCACGTGATCATGACATTAAATAAAGCTCAAAGAAATTTAGTTTAATGTGGATTTTTAAAATTTATTACTTAATGCAGAGCAAAAAATGATAGATCCTTTTGATTTGTTTTTAAATTCTTTGGTGTCTGAATAGCTGACTAAATGTATACATAAAATATTAAAGGAAAAATGGCAAAATTACCAGAAAAATATATTTTCACCTTACATTACCATTATATTTATAGGGAAATTTTATTATGGTGTAAATGTATATATTATTAAAATCACAACATAGTATTTTATTAAGTGAAGCCTGCTTCTGTAGTGGAAGTTTTGTACATTTATGCATTGTGCTACTATATCAAATTATCTTTGTCTCATAGAGAAAAATGGTAAAAGTTACAATAGTGTAACAGAGGATTTACATAAATGAAGCACTGTAAATTTGTCCGTGGAAACATGTTTTAAATGTGCTATGTCACTGATATGAAGCTGCATAAATGTATCCCATAACATTATTGTTGTGAAACTTTTATAGCTGTTCATCAAGCTAGTGAATCATCAGATACTGGTACTGATTATGATTATTCACCTGATGATGACTGGCGCAAGGTGAGAAAACCCTTGATAAAATTTTCCTTATTTTATGTATAACTTATTAGTGCTGATGAATGTAATATATTTCATAGAAATAGTTCTTTTTTTATTTTTTAAAAAAATTTTTATGGTAGTTTTCAAATGTGTGTGTGTGTTAAATATTAAGCAACAAAATAAAATATAGTACAAAAATGCTCTTATAATTTTTTTTATTTGTTTCTCTTTTTCATTATAATTTATTTATTTATTGCTCACAGTTTAGTGTTTAGAATACTTCAATAACACAAGATTTTCTAACAGAAATAGTGTAGCGGTAAAGGAACTGAATCTTGGAGATGATTTGAGAATCATACCAGCAGATAATATAATATTTTTCTAGATCCTTCAGTTCTTTAATGATTATGAGCTACTTCTATTAGCTGCTTATCTCACAGCAGTTGGATAATTAAATTTATGTGTTACAACTATATTTCTCATGTATTACCATCATTCAATTTAACTTAGCTAGTTCCCTCCTAGTACTTAATGATTTCTAGATTCACAGAAAGATTTTTATTATGGCACAAATTACAATGAACCATCATGAGTTCCCCTGACTCATAAAAATATGGTTTAACTGTAAAACAATATAAACATGACAAAGCTACTGTTGATAAAAGGTCATTCAAATTCTTCATGAATAGCCTTCTTGATATTTGCATGGAAACAATATAATCCACATTTTGTCTCCTTTCACAAAAAGTAAAAAATTTTAAGTAAATCTAACATTTCATAGAAACGAAGCACAGCAATATGAAGTTTAAAATTAAGTAAAAACCAACCTTAATATTGGTTTTGTGTAAAAAATTTTGCATTTCATTGGAGGCAGGAATTTGTTATTCTTCAAGGAGAATAACACTAAAGTAGAATATTTGTACTCCTAAAAGAAAAGCAACCTCATGCTTGTCTACTTTGAGATGTGCATATTTTTTTTTGATAAAAACTAATGTTAATCTAAGGTTGAGTTTTGTTGAAATTAAAAATTTTAAACTGTGGAATACTCACTGGATCTGAAATATTTATCTTCTGATTAAGGGAAGTATCACTCGCAGCAGATTTTGCATAATAATACCTGAAATGATTTATTTATGATACTCTGTGTTATTTGTGGTATTAAGGCTTTTTAATGTATTAGTATCAGTATTTTTCTGAAATGGCATTTTTTTTAAATGTGAAATTCAGTTAATCTTCTAATAAATCTGTAATACACATTTACTGGATAAAGAATTTAGTTATTAAAATATTCAGCTGTCTTCTCTGTATTTTCAAGGGAATCAGGCGAAAAGTAAAAATGACCATTACTAAAAAAGTTAACATATAGAATTTAATGAAACTGACTCTCATTATACAACACATAGTAATATATAAAATAACACAAAAAGAAATTATTGGACAATTATGGTGTTATAGAAATTACCATATGTATAAAATGAACAAATCAGATGTGTCAGTTTGGTATATGAAAATAACCTTTAATGTGGAGTATGATCTCTCTTAGAAGCAATACAGCGATGTGTAATGTTGTCACTTTTGCGGTTTGTCAGTTCTGTTGGAACTGAGAGCCATTGCTCTGGCAGAGTAGTTGCAAGTGGGATGAGGGTCTGAAGAGGAAGACTGAGAGCAGCTATATGTATTTCTAAAGCATCCCAAACACGCTCGATAGGATTCAGCTTCAGTGATCGAGCTGGCCACTTCATGCACTGAATTGTTTGCTGCGGAAGGTAATCATCCACCATGTGAGCCGGATGCAGTGTAGCGTTGCGGTCCTGTAGCAGAAAATTATCCCCTATTGCTTTGACATAAAGGCACACATAAGCATGAAGGATGTCATCTTTATAGGCGTGAACATTCATGGTTTCACGGGGAAAGACATAGAGATCTGTTCTTCTATTGAAAGAGATACCACCTTAAACACAGACACTCCCTCCTCCTTATGCATCTCTTTCAAGGATGTTTGATGGATGATAACTTGTTCCAGGTTCTTTCCAAATTAAATAACTTCTACTATTGCTTTGGAGGCTAAACCTAGACTCATCCGTAATGAGAACAGTCCATTAATCAGCTGTCCAGTAGACATGTTGAGGTAGCGGGAGCAGAACGCAAATGGCTGGTGACCTCACGTACAGACCTCTTTCATAAAGTCTTGTATGCACAGTTGACACCTTGACACCAACCTTGATCAACACAAGCCTTCCAGCGGCTGGAGCAAGCGAGGATCTGAATTGAGTCAGTGTTGAGGTTCTGTTCCTTTGTGCACATAACAGCAGATATTTGTCACCAGCAATCATTGTAGCAGTTGGCCATCCTTGGCTGAACCTCCTGAATGCCAAATCTGTGGTTAGAAATTGTTACCAAAGTCTATGAACTACCAATGGACTCACATTTAGCCACTTATGTCTGACTTTATCCTCTTATCTAGTCTCCCAATAGATCTGCACTGCAGTTCCTTAGGCAAAGATGCCCGGAGGTCATTGAAATTGGCTATCGCAGATTTCTTATCGCAGTATCACAGCAAAATTTGCAGGCTTGCTCTGAAACATGTCTGCTTTTACTCCCCGCAGATGACATATTTTGATTGCAGTGCCAGTAATTTGCGTTCTGCAATTTTACTCAGCAATTCTTATTTGACAACATATAAAAATTTTTATGGATTGTTTTATTTTTGAACAAGTTATCACTATTCCCCCCCCCTTAATTTTTGGAAACCAATGTATATGTTGGAGTTGTGATATGCAAGTGGATTTCTAGCTTTCTTTCCTGATCATTGATAAAGTGGGCAATAGAGCAAAATCATGGTGCCTTAATGCACTTATATTATTCTGCTGATATTTTATGTAAATTGGCTGTTTTTTCATATCTGTGCCATTATGTAGTGTGAGAGTTTCGGAGTGAGCTATTTGAATTGATGTAAATGAAAACGTCATGTCAAACTGTACATCTCAGACTTTTGTGTTGTATGTACGTAGGGTTTTTTTGAAGGGGGGTGTTGCAATAAATTTTTTAGCTCTAATTTCTGATTTATTTTCTTAATTCTTCTTATAATTCATTTGATGCAATTTTTTTCTTTTTGAGATGAAGGAAGAAATGACATGGTTTTGGCATCATTGTGCCTTCTATTTTGCACGATAATATTGACCCTTTTATATTGAACGTGAGACAAATGTCAGAGGTTAGATTTCTTGAAAGGGACTTCAAAGATTGAAATAATTATGTCACCATACAATGTGCTTTGCACTTTTGAAGACTTATGTCACCTATTTAAGAAAGTTGCTCAATTTAGTGGTAGTAAATATGAAGTAAACTGAAGCTTACTGCTGCCAAATAAAGCACATCAACTTTTATTACAAAAATAAATTATGTTCATGAAAGTCCATGTGCAGCTTTTGTTTTTGCAAACATTGATTTTAGATATATATGCACTTTCATCTCCAAAAATATTTTAAAAGATGCACATATCGACTTTATGGTATTTTTAAATTGAAAAAAAAAAATAAGTCAATTTTGAAATCTTAACATTTTTTACTGTATTCTGGTGCATATTGTTATATTTACTAAAAGTTAAAAAAAGATATACCATATAATGAAACCAGACCAAGACATTTATTTTTTAAATTTTCAGATTTCTCTTATCTTTTCAGAGGTCAAAAACAAAACTAAAAAAAAAAAAAAAAAACACTCATTAAGGCATGGATTAAAATGTAAATTAGGATAATCCAGAGTTGATTTTCTCTCACTTACTATCATTCAGTGAAGTTCTTTTATTATTTGTCATTGTGTAAGATTCTTTTTTTAAAAATAACTTTGTTATATCTGGTATGCTGAAAGTGTTTTCAGACAAGTAATTTATAATCAAAATCGCAAGACCTTGTATTTAGTATACATATATTAAAACACAATTGATTTTGAGGGCAGCTAAAGGTCCCTCCTCATCAGGACAGGACAGGACGGGAAAAAGTGCAGGGGGCACCACGACATCGTCATAGACAAAAATGGTCCCTCCTCATCAGGAGAACGAAATTACTAGAAAGGGAAAAAAAAGAAGAAAAATAAAGCATCAGCAAAGGGGTCTCAAACACGTGGTCGTTATCAGCACTGCATGTGGTCGTAACCGGATTTTGAATCAGAGTTACACTGACCGCCTACTTTTACTGAGCCAGGCTATCTGATCAAACATATAACACATAGACTAAAATGTAAAAAAAATCAGGGAAGTCAAAAACTAGGGAGAGAGGAGCAACTGCACCTTAATGCACCAGTTTTTATTGTGTGCATTCATTATTTTACATGCTGTAAAAATCAGGGTTCATACGGTCCTTAAGGCTTGTTTCCACTGCTGCATATGCGTTGCGGTGTCTATGCGTTTCTCCAATCAGCGAGCGACTTCACTTTGATTGACATCTGCAATCCTGTCGATGTGCGGTGACGGATGACATACGGATGGAGTTCAACAATGTTCAACTTCTATCCATATGTCTGCGGATGCGTTGGAGTCACGTGGTAAAAAAGAAGCAATCAAGTGTAGTCACCAAAAATTAATGGCGGCAGAAGTAGCGATGAACGCTCGCTTAGTTAAAGAATTGCTAAAAAATACTTATTTCTGAATTAACATTATAGCAAGAAATCTGCGTGCTGAAAAAGACAGCAATTAGCTGAATTTAGTTTAAAAAAGATAAGAAAAATAAGATAACTGCAACTACAGTACTTGTTTGCAGATAAAATCAGGCGTTCAAGAAATTCAGTCAAGACAATCAGCGGCAAAAATTATAATTCAAAGTCCATGAAATAGCAAAATTTGTCCTGACCTTATTTCCTAGTTCTGCATATTCATTTACCTTTAATGAAAATGAATGTCTGACTATATCACACACTGCTATAGCAAATTAGATATGATTAAAAGATTGGCTATTTTTTTCTTTTGAAACAGGTAAAATAAAAACGTTAATTATAAATTAAATTGATAGTCTTTTAAATTTCCA